GTAGAGGACAGGAAGGCCTGGAGGAACATTGCCCATGGGGTTGCGATGGGTTCGGACATGACTTTGCAACTAACGACGACAACAACATGCCCAGTATTTGGCCGTAAGATGAGGGTGAGGATGAATTTTGTCTTTTCAAGTGCTGTGGTTGATGAACGCATACAGTAGTTTAACATTACTGAGAAGCTACGGTGAATACAGGACAGATGGGACTGGCGATAGCAGCTTTGAATACTTATCTATCTTCCCTTGAGTACATCCTCATGAAATATAGATGAAATAGTTTTCCTCAGTTATATTATTGTCAATATTCTTTCTCATATATTGGGAGAGAAGAAAGATCATTCAGGGAATGGATCACCATGTCTTCAATGATTTATCCCTGTGGGCATCAACTTCTTCTCTTTATTCTGTTCTTTGAGGAGAAGGAATAATTGTTTGGCCTTTATCTGGCCTGGTGGCCATTTTAGGACTCTTAAAACTCACAGATAAGAATTTGTCTGGGGTATTTTTAAGGGAATCACAAGAGTACCTCAGAAAGGCATCAATTTGCAGTTTATGCTGGTTGGATTTGCTTCATGGGGGTCATCAAAAGTTTTGAAGCATTTACCTGCCTTCAAGAGTAAAGATTATGGTGGCCCACCATGAAAACCTTGGGCTCTAAAGTCCATTTGCTTAAAAAATTAAAAAGGGAAATTATACTTTTTAAAATTAAGAATGTTCAGTGTTATGGGGTTTTCTTAAATAATCAAATTAAACCAAACCTTTATTGTCAATGCACAGCATATGTACAATGAAACGGAATAAAAATTCAGTGTATAATTTTCAGGGTGTATGGAAAAGTTAACCAGCCGATTGTAGATCTGTTTAATGTATAAACTATTTAATGTTTTTTTTTCTTTTTTAAAAAAACAAGTCAATTTGGGTACATTTAATCTTCTCTCTTGTCGAGACAAAGTAATCAATTTTCTTAAGAATGCTGGAATGTTCAGTTTGGTTAACCCAATGAAGCGGTGTGTTCATAAATGTTTGCGATTTGTTAATTAGTTGTGGGTTCCTTGGATAATTTAATTAAATGGTGTGGATTTTCAACCTTCAATTTTCGATCTCATTTTAATGCATGGGATAACCTTTTATTGCCCTGAAGTTCTAAGTATTTGATCGTCTAAATTATTTTCATGATTATAAACATTCACGATGAATCAAACAATGGTGGCTTTCTTTTAAAACATTATTTTCTCTTTTTATAGAAGAACATCTGTATGCTGAGAATTGTTGATATGGACTAGATTAAGGTAAAGGTAAAGGTTCCCCTTGCACATATATGCTAGTCGTCCCTGACTCTAGGAAGCGGTGCTCATCTCTGTTTCAAAGCTGAAGAGCCAGCGCTGTCCGAACATGTCTCCATGGTCATGTGGCCAGCATGACTATAAGCCAAAGGTGCATTGAATGCAATGTTACCTTCCCACCAAAGGTGGTCCCTATTTTTCTACTTGCATTTTTACATGCTTTCGAACTGCTGGGTTGGCAGAAGCTTGGACAAATAACCAGAGCTCACTCCCTTACGCGGTGCTAGGGATTCGAACCGTCAAACTGCCGACCTTTCTGATTGACAAGCTCAGCGTCTTAGCCCCTGAGCCCCTGCGTCCCTTATTTTCATGATTATAAATGTTCACAATGATTCAAACAATGGCGGCTTTCTCTTAAAGCATTATTTCTCTTTTTATCGAAGGACATCTGTGTGCTGAGAATTGTTGATATGGACTAGATTATTTTGCAGCAAAACCTCAAATCTCATCCCCTTGTTTTATGTTGTGTAACCAAGCTGTGTATCCTCTTTGTTATATTGGGGTTTGCAGTTTTTACCTCACTTAGAACTGAAAAAACTCTACAGATTGTTCGGAACTGAGTGAAACCTAAGATGCACGATAGAGTATTCAACATTTATCATGTTTCTCCGAAAATAAGACAGGGTTTTATTTTCTTTTGATCCTCTAAATAAGAACTTGGCCTTATTTTCGAGGAGGTCTTATTATTTTTGAGGTGCAGCAGGCGGCGAGCGTGATCACCTCATGGCTGCTGCTGTGTTGCAATATTTTCAGGGAGGGCTTATTTTCAGGGGAGGGTTTATCTTAGCGCATGCACTCAAAAGCCCGATTGGGCTTATCACCCGGGGAGGTCTTATTTTCAGGGAAACGGGGTATTTATTTGTGTTCCTATTGAGGCGATCAAGTTCCTATGCTCTGTTTAAAGATCTGTCGGGGTGTTATTTTAGTGTGTTTCATAAAATCCTTTCCTAAGAACTTCTTTGTCTTGTACAAAGGATGGAATTGTTGCCCCAGGTAACTTCTGACAAACACCCAATGTTTGAGGCATCTCCTTGCCTGTAAAACAAATTAAAGGGAAGAGAATGGTCCGAGGATGTGCCTCTAAGAATGGTATGATATGAAAAGACGAATCACCCCAAATTGGACATTGATGTGGGGAGTGGATAATCGATGACAGTACAGAAAAGGGAAGCTGTCTGCCAGCTTTCTAAAATAGCTTTTCTCCACTTTGATATACCCATGTTTTCCTGGAAATAAGACAGGGTCTTATTTTGACCCCTCAAAATAAGCGCTTGGCCTTATTTTTGGGGAGGTCTTATTAATTTTGAGGTGCAGAAGGTGGCGAGTGTGGTCAGTGTTGCAATATTTTGGGGGAGGGCTTATTTTGGGGGAAGGGCTTATTTTAGTGCATACACTCAAAAGCCTGATCGGGCTTATTATCTGGGGAGGTCTTATTTTCAGGCAAATAGGGTAGAAGTAGCACACCTTCGAACAAGGACCGTTGATGGAAGGAGATGAAGTAGAGGAGTTATTGCCCGAAAGAATAAATGTGAAAAGATGAAGGTGCCCGAGGAAGTCAGAATTTTCACTACTAGCTTGTGCATCGTCACAATTTCTCACAAAGAGCCAGATTTTGTTTTTCTTTGTTTTGAGAAAAAATACTTTATTGCAAAATATTTAATTCCTTCAGAAAGAGGTGGCCAGATGCTGGGTTTAATGCTGACACATCCTTCTTTAAGAGACCTGCCTTCATCACTGAGGACTTTCCATTGAAGTCTCAGTAACGAAGCAGAAGAAAACAGAGGTGGGTGGGAGAGAGAGCCAACGAAGGTTTCTCGAAAGAAATTAGTAGCAGGGGCTGGAAGCCTCAGAGAGGACTAAGGAGACGTTGACAGTGGATGGTTTACCCGTGTGCTTGTTTATAGTCTTCTGACTTGAGTTGTAGGGGAAGGCTTCATGTCCCACCATGCAAGTGAAGGAACTTCCGTCATTCCACTCCTGCGCGTTGACGGTCAACATGCTGTAGGCAAAATACTCTTTGGATGATACTTTGGACTCTGCTATGGGTTTGCTGGTGAAGTATGTTGATTCGCTGACCGCCTTTTCATTCTTGAGCCAACGCACAAATAGGTTGCCGGGATTGAAGCCTTTGATGTAGCAGATGATGGTAGCGTCTTCCTGTAAACTCAGCTCTTCTGTTGAAGGTGAATACATGTAGATCGAAGGAGCTTTGGGTTTGCCAACTGAAAAGAAAAAAGGGTGAGGATACATTCACATGTATTTAGTACACATCATCGTGTTTAACTGTATTGCACTGTCCTGCATTGGTGACAGGAAGGGCATCCGGCCAGTTAAAACACTTTTCTAGCTCCATTCAGTTACCCAGACTCTGCCCCGTAAGGGATTAAAGGTAAAGGTTCTCCTTGCACATATGTTCCTGACTCTAGGGGGTGGTGCTCATCTCCATTTAAAATCCAAAGAGCCAACGCTGTCCGAAGACGTTCTCCCTGGTCATGTAGCCAGCATGACTAAATGCCGAAGCTGCACAGAACGCTGTTACCTTCCCAGAAAAGGTGGTTCATATTTTTTTTTACTTGCATTTTTACATGCTTTCGAACTGCTAGGTTGGCAGAAGCTGGGACAAGTAACGGGAGCTCACTCCATTACATGGTGCTTGGGATTCGAACCGCCAAACTGCCGACCTTTTCGACCGACAAGCTCAGCACCTTAGCCACTGAGCCACCGCGTCCCATCCACAAGGGATTATGGAGTCATTGAAAGATAATGATCCTATTTAACTGTAGCTGCTTCTAGGTGATACCACTCTTAAATGCATAAAGACATTTCTCTTTGTCATAGGACAAAGATTACTTCATTGGCTTAAAGGTTGATGGTTCACACTTGGCCGAAAGAAGCCAGGTCTACTTCAGGTAGACCAGAGAAAGGACCAAAAAAATTGCTATGGAATAATGAGACCAGAATTAGATGCCAAGGCATCCCTTTGCTCATTCTGCCCATCTATATAAAGGTACCAATCAAGATCAATGCAGGCTGAGAAAAATTACATTTGTGCTGTCTGTCAATCTGAATAGTTTCAGGTTGTACACAAACTTTTTCCTAGGGGAAGGTGAGAAGGTGCTTTCTCTCCATACAAGAAGAGTGGAATTGGGGTAAAAAAGAAGTTTGTAGACCACCATGGATGTGGAAACTGGATTCTTGTGACATGCACTTGACAGGTGTTAAGGAGGAGTCACCAAAAATCAGATCAAGAATAGGATTCATGGGGATGTCAATCCAGGCAACTGGAGAAGGACAATTTGGGGGTATCCTGAAGGATGTACTAAGGATTCTTCGTTGTACTATATCCATGAGGTTAATCTCATTTATCTGAAAACCTCCTGGAATGAGTGACACCCCCCCTCCAATACTTTGCATGGACCAACGCAACTAGAAACTTACCAATCTCCTTCTGCAGGGGTTTTTCTATTGGCTTGACAAGTACGTCTTCAAATGTCACTTTGCAGATATAGGTATCCTGTTCGTTCCATTCTGATGCACACATGGTGGTTATCGCATCGACATAGTAAAAATCATTGCCCTGGTCTAGGAATTCGGTCATCGCCGTGTGTAGTTGCTTGTGGTCCGATGCTCGTGTCCAGGTGACATTCAATTTCAAATAATCCGAATTAAGGGGGATATTGGAGATCCTGCAGGTCAGGTTGGCTGAGTTGGTCAGGAACATGTCAGCAAAAGTTGGGGGGATGGTTTCCACGGTAACTTCTTCACAGTGACTGGTGTCTTCGGGGGAATATCAAAGCAAAATTAAGAACATTGTTCCATTGTACAATAAACCAGTAAATTGTACAAATTTTTCTCTACCTTTCCCATATTTAATAACAAACATATTGTGGAGCTGCGTATGTTGTGACTGCTGTCTTCTGATTATTAAAATGTGTTGAATAAGTAGATAACAACTTGATTAATTTAATGCAGTGGGTGGTCCATTAATCATGTACAATTAGGTGGGGGAATAAAATTGTATCAGGGACCTGTCCCTATGTATCTTTTGGAAACATATAGATGATCTCTTTGGATTTATCTCTGAGAGCTTTGACGGGGTTTTCAGAATCTGTCAGGGTAGAATTGTATGGAACCGTAAACGTTTTTTAAAAAAATCTAAATCTCAATGATGAACTTTGAAATCGGAACATTAACATTAGGTAGCTACATACGATATTGTCAGGCCTGCGGCCATCTTTCTTTGGGATTGTTGGCCTGCCACATTTTCCATTATTCTACTATGCATTTTCTATTGTGGGAAAATGCATTGTAGATGATATGTAGCTATAACAACATTCTTTCTAGAAAGCCAAGGTCATCCTTTGTCTCTGCACCTCTGTGTCTGACCAGACCTGGATGGGTGAAAGCTGCCAGCATTGGCAGTGGGAGATTGGACCATGTGATGGACTTGTAGGTGTGGGGGCAAGATCTTAAACTTTCAACTGGGTGGGGGGGAAAGGGGAAGCTTTCAGATTCGGGTTTTCCCAGTTGTGCCAATATGGCTCTCTTAATAAATTGGAACTTTGAGCAATACTTTGCCTTGGACTCTGATTTACTTTTGGATGCTACTTGGAACCTTGACGGATATTCTGTTCTTCCTAGCCATTTATTAATGAGGAGCATGTGTTTTCTTTGTTCAAATTCTAACTAGGGCACTTCAGAGAAAAGAGAATTCCCTGCATTGATGTCAAAACAGAGGTGAGTGTGTTGGTTTCTCAGGGATCTGTGAGCTTGTTTGTTTACAGAAGGAACTAACATCAGCAGTGCAAACCCCACTCTCTTCTAGCATTGATGACGTTACTTAGTTTGGCTAAGGAAACGTCTGCAAGAAAGCAAGCTAGCTCAGAGATCACCAAGGACATCTTCATTTCAACCCTGAGCTACAAATATTCAGCTTTACAGGTGAATATATGTTTCCTCAAAAATAAGACCTCCCCGGATAATAAAAGCCCAATCGGGCTTTTCAGCGCATGTGCCAAAATAAGCCATCCCGTAAAATATTTAAATGCATGTGCAGCCGGTCCAAACCATTTCCTGGAGGGGAAAGGGGGGGAAATGCCCCATGTGCACCTGCCATCCACATGGAACAGCCTTGAGGAGGCCGCTCACGCAAATCCTACCTACCACATCCCTTCTCTCAGTGGCAGCTGCAAAAAGAACCCAGAGACATTAGGGCTGGCAAGAGTGTGCCAAAAACAGAGACAGAACCTCTGGCCCTCTTTGGATCAGCTGATCAGTAGCCCAAGGGCCGAGGGGCCTCCTGCACCTCAAAAATAATAAGACCCCCCCCAAAATAAGGCCAAGTGCTTATTTCAGGGGGTGAAAAGAAAATAAGACCCTGTCTTATTTTTGGGGAAACACAGTATCAATATTAATCAATAATAATTAATATTATTATTAATAATATTAATAGTATCAATAATAATTAATATTACTGAATTAATGGATGCTCTCAGAGGCATTGGTCCCCGGTGAACCAAAAATAGGTATAGAATGTGTGGTGGATGTGTATATACAAAGTTTCACAGCAGACCCCCCAAACTAAACAGCTGAGTGTTTCATCTAAAGGAGCATTTGAGGAAAGAGGTATCCCATAACTGGCCACCTTGCTCTGATTCTTGAAGAAGATTCCACTTACCTTTGCAGAAAGATAATATGTTGAAGGTTTCCGAATGGTTGTAGGCCTTGCTTTTCACGTCACAGGCGAACTTCTTTTCAGAAAGCCAGTCTTCCTTGATGATGACAAGTTTGCTCCACACGGTATATCCCCCATGGCTATTTGGGACGGCTTCGGCGGTGGTGAAGCCGGTGGTGATTTCTCGTTCCTCCTTAAACCAACGGAGCTCAATGTTTGGGGAGCAGAGGTCACTAACTTCACAGGTGACAGTGGAATTTAGGTAGCTACTGGAAAAGGCCCTAATAATTGGTGCCCGGACGAGCATCATAGGTTCCTTTGCTGATGATCCCCCATCTGGAGCATTGCAAGAAAAAAAATGACGATTGGGTCAAGGAATTTCAATACCTTCAAAGCATAATGTAAATGATGATTCAGAAGTGGCAGTAATGTTGAGGGACTTACATGTTCAGTTCTATCAGGGACACCAACTAGTTAAACTGAGTGATCTGCTGGCCTTTGATAATTGAGAAACACATCTGTATATACTGAAATATCTTGGAAATAGGGATCTAGGGAAATGAGGATGAGTGGGGTTTAGCCCCAGACCCCAGTCCCATATTCAGAGAACTCATTTCCCATGGCCAAGAAGAAGCCACGTTCAACCTCCTCTATAGTCAGAATGTGGGCTTTCAAGGGAAATGAAAGTATCGCAGTGTGCCTATCATTCAAAAGAATTAATCACCCAGGTAGAAAATGTCAGGTTTGAATGAGACTATGTTAATTATCCATTGGGTTAAGCAAAGGAAATTACCATATTTTTCGGACTATAAGTATAAGACACACCATGATTTTGAAGAGGTAAATAAAAAAAATAGTTTTTGCACTCTGCAGGCCTCCCAAACCCTTGGCATGCCTTGTTTTTTTTGCAAAAAAAGGGCACGCACAGCTTTGGAAGACTCATAGAGTGCTCCTGGGGGATGGGCCGGGAAAACGAGCAAAAACTGCCTCTTTTTTGCTTGTTTTTGCCCTCCTCAGCCCCCCAGGAGCACTTTGCAAGCCTCCCAAACCCTCTGCACACCCATTTTCGAAAAGGGGGTAGGGTTTCGGTAGGCCAAAAAATGCTACATTCAGTGTATAAGACACACAGAGATTTTCACCCTCTTTTTTTTTGAGGGGAAAAAGGTGCATCTTATACTCCGAAAAATACGGTAGGTCTAGTGATTTAGGAGGCAGGCTAACTTTTCTACACGCCCGTGTTGTGTCTAGCTTCTAACGTCCTCTGATTGGCTGCCTCATGAAAGTGCCCTACGTGTTCGTGGGTGGCATGGCTGATAGAGTAAAGGAATTTCACTTACATTGTCGAACAACTGGGATTGATGGGTTGCCCTTGGGGTGATCGGCTTGGCAATAGAATGTTTTATAGTTATCCCAGGCAGCCCGGTCAACTTTTGCCTGAGATGCTGTGGTGTACGTCCCACCCGACAAGATCGATGGAAATTTCAAGTAGTTCGCGCTGTCGATATTCTGGTGGTTTGTATCATTCCAGGAGAAAGTGATGGAGTCTGGCAGGAAATTCTTGGCGAGGCATCCGATGGCGATCTGGTTAGAGCCTGAGTTGTCCCCGGATGGGATGAGTGGGAAAAGAGAAGGGGCCTTTGGGGCTTCTGAGGGAGAAGAAAAAAAGGATGGTGGGTGTTGAAGCGGTTACACGCTCGGCTGGGATCGAGCGCACGAAAGGAAGCATGCCTTGCTCTTGCTGGGAAAGGAAGAGAAAGCGAACAACTCTCCGTGTAAGCGTTCCTCGATTCAACCAGGTTCTGTGGAGTGCATGTCATGGTTTCACAGATAGACTCAAGTTAGAGGCAAGCTTCCAGGCTGAAGTTTTGCCTCACTTGATCCCTAACCGGTTCTAACCGTTCATATGGATCTCTCCTTCAACTGACCATCCTCTGTGTGAGCTGAGATAGGAGGGTTAGGAAGTATGAACAGAGGTGCGAACATTTTACCGGTTAGCTGCCCATAGCCTGAGATTCGTGGTTTTCCAGGCAATGTCATAGGAGATTTCAATCAATGGGACCACTTCCCCAGGATTGTTATAGGAATCCCTATAGAGAGCAACCTTGGGAAAGTTTATATACTTAGAAACTCATATTTAGAAACTGCCCATCTCTTTCACCGAGGAAATATTTTGTATTCTTATTGCCGCAAACTGGATGGATTCTAAACAGGACTGGAATCTCCTTCTAAGGAGATAAATTTTCAGATTCATGAAAGCAACAATGGTCAAAAAAAACCCTCCCTCTGTGTATTCCCCCATGGTGATGGAAAGACGGAATCCTTAAGAACATTTTGTAAAGTAGCATTTACTCAGAGGTCACAGACAAACTGACAAGGTATTTCCGATTCTAGGGAAGAAACCGAGAAGCAAAATTTTAATCTCCTTCAGGCCCCACGCTGAGATTTGAAAGTAATCAAAGCATTTCTTCTCCAAAAGATAGAAGCAGATCTCAAACTTTTCTCTGAGACCTTGTTGTCAAAGCTAACACACACACACACACACACACACACACACACACCTCCTATTTGGATGTCAACTATT